GCTAAGAGAATAAGCTATAACTCTTATGAAGACATGAGATTCTAAAAAGATCATCTTCTTAGCTAAAAATTAAAAAATCACAACAAATATATTCAGCGCTTACAACTAGACTTCTGATCACTAAAGCAACTATAACTGAAGTTCTAGACCTTCGTTTTACCTGATTCTAGTTCCAGTAGAAAGATAACGTCCAAGGCTACAACTTTTATAAAGACCACAAAATCTAATTCTGTCAATATAACACTTGTACTGGAAAAGTAAAACTACAGTGCAAACATCCCCTACATCAGACAGCATTAGTGTATCAACACCTAAGCCCACGAAAATATCTCAATCCTTCCAAACCCACTCCTTTCCACCTCAAACTCATATCCAAGCTTTCCACTACAATCCTAAACCATATATATATATATATATATATAATAATAATAATAAAGTTATATATTAAATTTTGTTTAATTAATTTTTAAGACCCACAATTATGCATTCTTTATCCTAGATGAGCTAAATTCTTTCTTCGTACGAAGGATTCGGGGAATTACTCATTTACACACTGTTTAATATCATTTTTTAATTATTAGATAAAATCTGTATGAATCTTATTAAATGATTTAATTAGTGTACTCTTTATTAATTAATGAGAATTATGTGAAATTTATCCGATAATAAAAAAATATATTACCTAAAAAGAATATATTAAAATGTGACAAAATTTATCACTACGGGTTGTCTTTACCTTAAACATATTGGAGACCAATCATTGATAAGATTTTGGACTATCTCATATTCCATTTAATTAGTTTGACATTAATTTTATCATTTTCTTTCCTTGCTCAAAACTTAGATACTATTCTTACTAAAGAAAAACAAAAGTTTAATATTATTTATTGAGCATCTCGCAATATTTTTTTTTTTGAAGTATGCAGAGAAAAAAAAATAGATTTCATGTTAAAATGATAGGACCTTCGATTCAAGCTTATGATTTATTAATTTTGTAATGAAACATGTATATGTATCAAAAAAAAAAATTGTCAGGTTAGTTGGCTGGCATATATTGTCAGATATGTCTGAACTTGTATTTTTTTTATGACATAGATTCAATATCTTCAAAATCATTAAAATCTTATTTGATGAACATATTTTTTCAAAGTTGGTGTTAAAGATAAACTAAGTCTTTTGATGAGCTTTGGATTTTTTTCAACTCTTAGTTAGACGTCGGTCAAACTAAATATTTATTGTAATAGCTACACACAAAAAAAAGAAGAATAATAGTATTTAGTTTGAGAATTCTAACATACTCACTAGTACAAACGAGATAATTTACGTCGGTTATTTTAAGTTTTTTATGTTTAAAAAAAGTGATATTAAAGCGGAAGACGTAAATTTACGTCGGTTGTGAAATCCGACGTAAATTTACGTCAGACATTACCAAGATCCGACGTAAAAAAGTTGTAAACCCAAAAAAAACATAACGAGTTCAAGCAGAACGAGTCGTTCTGATTAGAGAACGAGCTGTTCTGCTTGATAGAACAACTCAGAAGAAAAGGTCAACAACCCAAACAAATAGAACAACATGAAGACCAAATAGAACAAATAGCCACAATAGTAATGTGAAACAAAAAGGTGTTAACGATTCATACCTGAGCTGCAACAATGTGCAAACGAGTAACGAAGAGTTCACCCCACTCTGCAAAAGATAGAAAAAACGATTTAACAACAAAGGAGAGGGAGAGGGTTTATACAGAGAAGAATCTAGAAAAGTGATGAGATCCGAGTGAGTGTGTTCGTGCGTGTGCCTCCCATGCACTCTTTTTATTCACTTTCGCTACTTTTTTTTACGTCGAACCTGGTAGGATCTAACGTAAAATGTAAAATCTACGTCAGTTGTATGTTGTGTTCGACGTAGATTTTACATTTTACGTCGGACCCTACCTGATCCGACGTAAAAAAGTTTGCAAAAATTACAAAAATGTCACCGCATCTTTTTCACGTCGATTTTTGTTAAGTCTGATGGGAAAGAAGTGAGGTAAAAGCCTAATTTTCCACTAGTGACTTTATGTGAAATCCTGTAGGATCAAAATTTTAGTATTTCAAAACATGAATTCTTTGGACAATTTTTACAATAAAATAAAGAAATTAAAATGAAAAAATATGGATTGAAGTAAGAAATGAAAGAACAATGTCACAATTCCTAAAGATTAATAAGTTGAGGAAGATTCGTTGCTTTCAATTAAAAAATTCAAAGATAAGAATCAATAGTAATTTTTAAGAACCTAGAGAGAGAAATTCTCTCAATTGGAACAATATCCAAATTTTGATTAATTTATTCTCTACTAAAATCTTTACAAAAAATTCTTATTTATAAACTTAGATGAGCAACAAAACATAAATTCTCACTAAGACTCCACTTAGAAATAAATTTCCACTAATACTTAATTTATACTAGAATTGACTTCCCACTGTCTTACTAATTATCATTATGATATAGGAAGTCTAAAAGCATTAAAAAATGACCTAAATAATATAAAGAACATATGAATTATTTGAATAAAAAGAAATACAAAAATTACATTAATAATTAACTACATGAGTTTAAGCAGTACTATTTAGCCCAAAACTAATTAAACTTCAATGTATCAATGCTTCTTCTAGATCATGTGCAATTGGACTTGCCATGTTATCTTAAAATTAAACTCAAGTCTTCGTCAAGATGTAGAAAATAACATTAGATGATATATTTCCATGAGCCTTGTTAAGCAAATCAGTTTATCTTTATTTCTCAAATTCTTCCAAGGGCGAATGACAAACAACTAACCATCTACCTGAGCAAAAGATGCACAATTATCAAGAAGGGCCACCATTGACTCTTCACAATTTAGCCGGTTCTCATACCAATCCACCTCACTCTTAACCCATTCATAACCCTCCCTCTCTAGCGGACCTTTCCCTTTGTCATCATTTAAATCTCTTGACGCCAAATCCTAACAAAAATGGGCTTTGCTGCCACTAGTTGAGCCACACCACCACTAGTTGCCCTCGTCACACACACTCCTTCCTAAATATTGTTGGTTGTACTCGACTTAGGTAGCCTCATCACATTCTCAAACAAATCATTATCATCATACTCCAATCTCAAATGCCTCCACCCCATCCACGCACCCATGCAAAGACAAACAAACCAAAATGCTAAAAGATCAATGAAAAAAAGGAGATACTTGAAAACAACATAGCAAGAAACAATTATATATACGATTTCACTAACATAACCACACCCATATATTAAATATGAATAACTATCTTGTACGAGAATGTGTTTAGATGCTTCTCTTCAATAATAAGAATATTTTTAAATACATGAATTTTTAGGAACTTTTAACTTTTTATCTATTTTAATTTTGTAGTTATCATATATTTGTAAATTAAATTTTATAATTTTAAAACAAATTGTTAATTAATAAAAATAATCTTATGTGACAATATAAATTATTTTTATAATCATTAAGTGTAATTTATACGATCAAAAAGATTATTAAGAGTCTCCTGTCAGCAGAAAAAGGCTATCTAGGAGGTGATGAACTTTCGATTCACGAAGAGGATGGATAAATATATATGTTTTAGGTGTATGAAGGGTACGTCAGTAGGAGGGACTTCATTACTCTTTTTGAAAGAATCAGTAAGGTGAAAGGGTAGGCTTCTCAATAAGCCAGCCAAAGTCTCTTTAACAAATGATGTTATTATTACTTCTTTATCATCATATGATATGCAAGTTCAATGGTACCCGAGTTACGTTTGTGAGCATGTGGACAAGAGTGTTCATTCGTTTGTTTAGAAGAGGAGTAGCAATAAGGGTTTCCATATGGTAGGATGGAAGAGGATTGCAAGGCCTTGAAAGTATGGCAGGTTGGAATCAAAACTGCCCGAGAATAGAACATGGTTTTACTTGGAAAGCTTATTTAGGATCTACTTCATCTATTTGGTTAGCTATGGGTGACTTTGCTGTTAAACAAATATCTAACAATAGGCCATATCTTTAGACAGAGGGCCAGCAAGGGCTCCTTGGTTTTTGGACCTCCATTCTTAAGGCTTTCGATGGTTTCAAAATCAAATTTGGTAATGGTGCTACTAACTTTTGGGAGGAGCCTTGGCTGTTAAACATGCATTGGCTAATATTTTAATTTGTACAATTTACAGATATAATTATTATATATAATATAATTAAAATTTATAATAAATTATACATAAAAATATTATATTTTAAATATATAGATTATATTTAAAATAAATACACATAAATATTTTTAAATATATAAATTATATTTTAAATCTATGGTAAATAATTTATATTATAAAAAATAGTTATTGATTTTTTTTGTTGGTATATATTGATAACTTATTTTGAAATATTTATATTTAATTCATAAATAATTATGATAAAAAAAAAATTTATTTTAAATATTAATATTTAATTAATAAATAATTATAATAAATAAAAATTAAATTAAATAAGAAGTTAAAATATCTTTATAAATTTTCTCATTCAAAAAAGTTTCTAAAAATATTCTCGGGTAAAATAAATATTGGTGTTTAATATGTTAAAATTGATCATTTTCATTTCTCTTGTAATTTTTATTTTTAATTATTAACTTTAATAAGTTAAATATATTTCATAATTTTAAGATATTAAATATATATTTTTTATGTTCAATACTTGTTCCATAAAATGTATTAAAAATTGGTACTAGTGCAAAGTGCACACTTTATGTGGGTCCTCACAAGACCTTATGTCGTCTAATTACGGGTCCCACACTCCGTAGGTCCTGTAACCTCTGTCTGTCATAGCATGCTATCTCATCGCACATGCAGAATCTGAACAGAACTTTTTTCACTTTACCACTACAATATATTTATTTACTTACACTTGAATTCAATGTTAACAGATTTTATCTAATCATTTTTTAAAAAAAGATTAGGCAGGTATATATTTGTAGTTTCAACTAACAAATACACTCTTCTATTTCAGTACCCTCTCAAGTCGCTTTCTCTGTTGAGTTCACTTAGCCATTTTTTTTTATGTTGTGGTATTCTCTGTAAAAGAAACCTTCTTGGAGAAGAAATGGAGAATAGGGTACCCTCCTCCTCCTCCTTCTTCTTCTTGTTCTCTTTCTCACTCATGCTGCAACTTCTCTTGCACCTTTCTTCTGCCCAGATGACAGGTACTCTCTTCTCAAGTTTCTTTTCCACCTTTGAATTGGTTTCCATAAAAGATAGGGTCTCTTTATGCTCTAGCACCGGTTTCTGCATTCAAAATAAAAAGGGTGTCTTGTTTTAGTGTTTGCCCTTGTGCTCTGTTGCCTCTGTTCTCTGGCATTGGTTCTTGGTTTGTTCATTTTGTTTATTTTTTCCCGGTTCTTTATCTTTGGCATTCTTGGATGTTCTTTTCTAGGGGTGGCAACCTCAATTTTCAAGAACTGTTTTGGCAATTCACTTGTCTTTTGGTTCTGAAGATTAAGTCGTTTTGTGTGGCCTTCAAAATCCTGAGATGAGTTGAGTGTAATGATTTAGTTTGTATGTCATGTTGCATAATCAAATGCATAAACTAAATCAAGGAATAGAATGATCCAGCTCTAATGGTTTTGATTCATGTGTTTTTTCAGTTTTACTTGGATAGCTCTTGCTGCCACTTATTTAAGAGTCATATAAGACACTTTAGATTTTCAATCTCGCATGTGTTGTTCTTTAATCCTTTGTTTTTGGTGCAAGAGTGCATATTGAGCTTCATAAATCATGTTTCTAGCGGAATTACAATAGTAGCTAGCAAGATACACGTAGCTTAAGTTACAGTGATCAAATGCCAAATGTGATTTACCACCAGTAATCATAAGCAATTCTGCATGATTGAATACTTTTGGGTTCTTGGAACCTGTAATGGTTGTGCAGATCATATGATCAGTTATTATCTATTTTTATAAAATGAATCTTTATATAATTGCCATCATTATTTTGCCTATTAGATCTAAAATTGATGTGCAATTAATTCACTTCATCTATGATGTTATATGGTGACAAGAGATGCTGTGTTTAGCAGGTTTTGTAAGTTTGGACTGTGGTGGTAAAGAAAATTTCACTGATGATATTGGTATTGAATGGACTCCTGATGATAAACATAGGTTTGGAGAAATAAGCAATATATCGGTTGCCAATGAGACACGGAAGCAATACACAACACTACGATACTTTCCTGCCGATTCCAGAAAATACTGCTACACAATTGATGTTGTCAGTAGGACGAGGTACCTACTACGAGTTTCATTCTTGTACGGGAACTTTGATGCAAACAATGTCTATCCAAAATTTGACATTTCTGTTGGTGCTACTCATTGGTCGTCTATTGTTATATCCGATGCTAACACTATAGAAGCGAGAGAGCTTATATTTTTGGCATCAAGTTCTACAGTTAGTTTATGTTTATCAAATGCAACAACTGGGAAGCCATTCATATCTACACTTGAACTCCGTCAATTCAATGGTTCAGTTTATTACACATATGTTGAGGAGCAGGCTTACCTCAGTGTCTCTGCAAGGATAAATTTTGGTGCCGAAAGTGATGCCCCAATCAGGTATTAGGTCAACTCTGTCTGTTCATCACCTACTTAGTCGCAAATTAATCTGTATTCTCAAGTATATCACATGTACTATCATGAAGTCAGTGATTGAAGGTTTTGTTTGGATGAACTTATCCAAAAGCATTTCTAGAGGAAAAATTAAGAAAGAAAATCTAAATAAACTAAAACTAATTATAAGTTAAAAATAAGATTTTGGAGAAGTTATAGAAGATAATTTTTATGAATTAGTTTATGCGGAAACTTATTTCATTTTTTTTCTTCATAAATTTCTCTCCTAGAAGTGCTTCCGAAGAAGTTTATTCAAACAGACCTGATATCAGATAATGTTACCAAGTCCTAAATCCTGATGCCAGGAGTTCATTTCATTTGGCAAATTAGGATACTTCGGTGTGTGTGCACGTGTTTGTGTTAGCATACAAACAAGCACATGCATTTAGATTTGAGACATCTTTTTACAATTTATGATGTTGTTGTTTCACTAGATAAGTGACAAATATCAGACTTTTGTAACCGCCTTTGTAGAAAAGAACTACTACACACTGATTTTATCTCTTATGATAAACACGTTTACTGCACAGTTAGTGTTAGCTCTTGTGGTTTTGAAGAAGTTTTGTTTCACTCATTAAGTGTATTTCTGCCATATCAGGTATCCTGACGACCCATTTGATAGAATTTGGGAGTCAGATTCTGTCAAGAAAGCGAATTATCTTGTTGATGTTGCTGCCGGAACTAGGAAAATTTCCACAAACCAATCAATTGAAGTTAATAGTGATGAAATGCCACCCATGAAAGTAATGCAGACAGCTGTGGTGGGCACAAATGGATCTCTAACTTATAGGTTGAACTTGGATGGTTTTCCTGGTATTGCATGGGCATTCACCTATTTTGCTGAGATTGAAGATTTGGCTGAAAATGAGTCCAGAAAATTCAGGCTAGTACTTCCAGGTCATCCAGATATTAGTAAGGCCGTGGTAAATATTGAAGAAAATGCCCCAGGAAAATATCGTCTCTATGAACCAGGATTTACTAATTTATCTCTGCCCTTTGTTTTGAACTTTAAATTTGGCAAAACATCTGATTCTACCAGGGGCCCTCTTATAAATGCCATGGAGATTAACAAGTATTTGGAGAAAAATGATGGCTCTCCTGATGGTAAGTCCTTACCTCATGATCATGATATGTTGTTTGGTTAACTTGCGACTGTACTTTATTTATATATTAGTATGTAGATTGCAATACTAAGCATTATCAGTTAAGAGCAAGTTTGAATAGAAGCCTAAAATGGTTTTTAACTTTTAAGAGCTTTTCTACTAAAAGGTACCTTTTATTTTTAGTAGAGAAGCTCTTGGAAACCTTTTTAAATTGTATCCAAACAGACTTTAAATATTTTTTGAAGCATTCTAGATTATTTATTACTTGGATTGGATGGTTTGCAGGAGAAGTTATATCTAGTGTACTTTCACACTACTCCTCAGCAGATTGGGCACAAGAAGGGGGTGACCCATGTCTACCTGTTCCATGGTCATGGGTCCGTTGTAGCTCAGATCAACAGCCAAAAATAGTTTCAATGTAATGGTCCATATTTTTTTATGGTTTTTATTCTGTCTATACATGCATCCATATTCCTCCCCAGATCCCTAGCTTAGTCTCATTGCACCCCCACCCCCAAAAAACAAGAAAATAAAAAAAGGAAATGAGAAACCATCTAGCTTCTAATAAAGAATGTTTAATTACTGTAACTAAAGAGAAGTTCAAGTTAACAGTTACTTTGTTTTGCTGGTGATGGCAGTTTGTTGTCAAATAAAAACTTGACGGGTAATATTCCTTTGGACATCACCAAATTGACTGGTTTGGTTGAACTGTAAGTCTTATATTGCTTTCTTATTTTGCTTCAAATCTATCAAACTTATGGCTGGTGGCATAATGATTTGGTTCATGGATGCAGATGGCTTAATGGAAATGAATTGACTGGCCAAATACCAGATTTCACTGGATGTATGGACTTAAAGATCATGTAATGGCTGATAAGTTTTTCCTTTATTTATTTATTTATTTATTGTTTAGTTTTCAGTAACTAGAACCTTTTCCTCTTTCAGTCATCTCGAGAACAATCAGTTGACAGGTGCACTCCCAACCTCTTTGGTGAACCTCCCAAATTTGAGGGAACTGTAAGCTATCTGGAACTTATATTCAGTTGTTTGATGAAATTGGATATTGGTATACTTTTGATAAATCTAAATATAACCTTATGAGCTTAGCAATTGTTACTGCAATAAATACCTTTCTGTTAATAACTTGAGCCATGTTTAAATAATGCTCAAGCTATTATGCTAAATGCTCTGTTTATTTTAACCACATTGTAATGGTTGTAGGCATGTCCAAAATAATATGCTATCTGGAACTGTACCGTCGGGTCTTCTGAGCAAAGATTTGGTTTTGAAGTGAGTACCTTTTTTACTTGGACTTAAATATAATGCAGCATTAGACATGCATAAGTGGAAGAAATTATTGGCGTGTTGCATCGTAGGATAACTAATGAATATATGCACAAGATATGGTGATGCTTTTGCAATGTTCTGCCCTGTTCAATTCAATTGTTCTTCTTTTCTAGATTTCAATCTCTGAAAATGGCTTGTGTATTGTATAAATATATGTTACACCATGAAATTAAATGGTTTGCTTTATAACAAGAGAAATCAACAATCCTGGTTTAATCAGTTAAGTGGAAAGCTAATTTTGTTCTGTGCAGAATTGTCAGATACTCTGATATTCATACACTGGTGCTTCTTTTTGTTTGAATTTTGTATATATTAATTGTACCTTCTAGTATGGCATCGACCAACATCCCTGTTTCATTGTTCCCCTTCTCTGTCTTTGTTTTTTTGTTTTTTTTCATGTTTATCCTCACCTCTCTCAGGTGTTTTTGCTTAATCTTTTGGTTTCTGAATTCTGGTCATGTTGCTTTGATTGCTTAAATAAATGTAGCATATGTCAGATAATTTGATAGTCCTTCTGTATAATTTGTCATTCTGGATTTTTTCCTTGAAATGGTAATGCTAAGGGATCAATATGTTTATTCTAGGTTCATTCTTATCCCATTTTTCCAAAATTTCTAATACCCTCATCATCATGTTCACACGATGACCACTGCTTTTATTTTGCTCCTCAACAGCTACTCTGGAAACATTAATCTTCATAAAGGAAGCAGCAAAAAGAATCACTTGTATGTGATTATTGGGTCAGCAGTTGGGGCTTTCGTTCTACTTTTGGCCACTATTATATCTTGCTTGTTTATGCATAAAGGCAAGTAGGATTCTGAATCAAAGTTATATATTATTTCTTTCTCAGATTTGAGATGGCAGAATCTGATAATTTGTTTACACTCTTTATAGGCAGCCTTGCTTCTCACCCTTCTCGAAGTATGGATTCTTCTAAGAACATTGGTCCTGCAGAAGTTGCTCACTGCTTCAGCCTTTCTGAAATCGAAAATTCTACAAACAATTTTCAGAAACAAATTGGTTCTGGAGGTTTTGGAGTTGTTTACTATGGGAAGCTGAAAGATGGAAATGAGATAGCAGTTAAAGTTTTAACCAGTAATTCCTATCAGGGCAAACGAGAGTTCTCCAATGAGGTAATCCAACATTGTAGCTATCCCAGCTTAATTTGCTTAGTGCATTTTCATATCGTGAACTATGATATATTTCTTTTTATCAAGTTGTTTGCTTTTTTCTCCATTCAGTTTCGAAATACAGCAAACAAGAGAGGACACTAGTTTCAAGATATTCATGTCATAGTTATATTTTTGTTTGATTCAGGTGACTCTTCTCTCAAGAATACATCACAGAAACTTGGTAAAGCTTCTTGGGTATTGTAGAGAAGAAGGAAAAAGCATGCTTATATATGAGTTCATGCGTAATGGAACTCTCAAGGAACATCTTTATGGTATGTAAGCCAACATGATTTAAAGCAAGGATCTGAAATCCAAATGCTCAACTATGCCTAACTTCTTGCAGGCCCATTAACACATGGACGGAGTATTGATTGGATGAAGCGTCTTGAGATTGCAGAAGATGCTGCAAAAGGTTTTCTATAATATTACTTACTCATGTCATGTATTTTTTAAGATGATAGCATTAGTACTTTTTTCCTCCAGTTTTTCTGATGGAATGACCCTTCCCCTAACTACAGTGTTAATAGTGTTATTCTCATGCTTGTTCAGGGATTGAATATCTTCACGCAGGTTGTGTTCCTGCAGTCATCCATCGAGACTTAAAAAGCAGCAACATTCTTCTTGACAAAGACATGAGAGCCAAGGTTTCAGATTTTGGCCTCTCAAAACTTGCTGTGGATGGTGCTTCCCATGTTTCTAGCATAGTTCGAGGGACAGTAGGATATTTGGATCCTGAGTAAGGCCTTCACTTTTGCATGTTATACTCTGATTTCTTGGGTGCGTATACTCTGATTAACCACAAAGCATATCATTGAAACTTTTAACAGGTACTATATGTCCCAGCAGCTTACTGACAAGAGTGATATTTATAGTTTTGGCGTAATTCTTCTTGAACTCATGTCTGGTCAAGAAGCAATATCTAATGACAAATTTGGTGCTAATTGCCGAAACATAGTCCAATGGGTGAGTTTTAAATTTTTAATTTCCCTGCAAACATAGAAGTTTGAAGCATAAATGTAGCATATAACTCCAAAATCCTTTGTAAGTTTTAAGCATAAATGTAGCCCATATAATTCCAAAAACATTTGCAAGTTTTAAGGGTTTTTTTTTTGTGTACATTATTCAATTTTACAATGTAGGGGGAAAATAGTTATAATTACATGCACTATAATGCATGTGTAAAATTTATGAAATTTCAAAAGATGATATACGTTTTTTTTTTTTACAATGGTCACACTGAGGCTAAAACTTAAAACCTGATGCAATTGAATACTACCCCAACTCCCCACAACTAGGGGTATAGTGTTCTTTTGATATATCTATTATATTCCAATTATGCTTATTAAAGAAAATAAAATTCCTGCATAGTATATAGATTTGAAGAAAACAATGTGGACATCATATATAATGGGTAGATAATCTTATTCTTTAAGCATGTGGTCATGGATTTGATCCCTAGTTCATGTATATGGAAAAACATTTGTTGAGAAAGAATAATTTCTTGAATAAATTTCAGTACATTAGGAAATTAGTCCTTAGCTTTTGGTTAGAGGATACCTTGATTTCCATAAGAAAAAAAAAATTCCACATTGTACTGAATGACATTTATCTAAACTACATTGTTTGACAGGCAAAATTACACATTGAGAATGGAGATATACAAGGTATTATTGATCCCGTGCTACAAAACAACTACGACCTTCAATCAATGTGGAAAATAGCAGAAAAAGCATTAATGTGTGTTCAACCACATGGACATATGCGACCACCAATTTCAGAAGTTCTGAAGGAGATACAAGATGCAATTGCAATTGAGAGAGAGGCCAAAGGCAATTCAGATGAGCCAAGAGATTCATTTCATTCTTCAATCAACATGGGTTCTATGGATTTGGCTGTAAATGATCACTACCACCTCTCAATTGATGAATCCATTGAACAGCCTACTGCACGGTAGTGCAAATATACATGCACATATTTTTCCCATTTTGATTTTTTGTTAAAATATTGGCAAGCCCTATGGTGTCTAAAGTTTGATGCCCCTCCCAATTTTCACTTGTTATCGGATGCTGTGATATATGTAGGTTTTGCTTTGCATATAACTCGTAGTTGTAGGTTTCAAATTTTGGTTTTTGCCCAGATGAATGTGGCAACATTAATATGGCAAATCTATAGTGTGCTTGGACCTGCACAGTCGGCGAATGTGTGTATTAATGTGTTCATGAATTTGATTTTTTTAATGGTGATTTAGCTTGCATAAAATTAAATATATTAATTATCAAGTGAGTTTTGAATTTGTTAAGGAGTTATCTTTAAAAAAATTGTTGAAGGAGTTCAATGTAAAAATTGAGAGAAAAAATTAGTATCTCTGTTCTTATTTATAATACTTAATCGAAAATAATTGGTTATTCTTCTATATAAAATTTAATTCAATTATATAATACAATTAAAAAATGAGAAGAAAATAAACTTTAATGCAAATCTGAATAGTGAATATCATGTTGGTAGTAATTGCAAAGCAGGGTTGTCGTGATTCAATTACATCTAGGACGTGTTTGATTAATTTAATAAATAGTTTAAGTAATGAGTTATGAGCTTATGAGAATTTATATCATACATTTGATCATAAAATATATCACAATAAATTGAAATGAACCTTTCTATAATAAATTTTGTCTGAGAAACTTGTTAAAATAAGCTGAAACTTAAAATGAACTTAGAAAATTCACAAGTCATTTCTATGAGTTCAAGTGAACTCCTGGTAGGCAAGGAAGGAAAGATATTGCATCTTCAATTTGTAGAAATCCATATGGTTCAATCCAGCAAGCTCTCGGTGTGGCAGGGCGTCTTGTTATAATTTATTTGAAAATTAATCTAGTATATTTTAATTTTCTAATTAATACATTAAATATATTATTTAATATGAGATATAAATAAATAATAATAATAATAATAATAATTTTGTGGGTATAAAAAAAGGTAAGTAACCAATGGGAGAAGAGGAAGGGAAGGGAAAGGTTAAGGAACGTGAAAGAAAAACGGACGGTGGCGATAGAACCGACACTCTGATCTCCATCGTCTCCTCACTCGTCTCTTCTCCAGCGTTCATTTCTCCCGCCAATTACAAATCACATCACATCAAACATCAGGTACTCTACCAACATAACAACACATAACCACCAATTTTCCCTTTTCTTTTTCTTTTTTTTATTTTCCCCTCTTTCTCTCTCTAGGGTTTCCCCCTCCCCCCAATTTCACCATGTTTTTCCACCTCCTCCGCCTAGGGTTCCGCCCACCATGTCCGATGCTCCGGCGGCGGCGGCGCCAGCCACGAGAGCGGCGACCACAGTCCGCGCTCCAATTTCCGCGAGCAGGACCGCTTCCTCCCCATCGCCAACATCAGCCGCATCATGAAGAAAGCGCTTCCTCCCAATGGTAAAATCGCCAAGGACGCCAAGGAAACCGTGCAGGAAGGCGTCTCCGAGTTCATTAGCTTCATCACCAGCGAGTGCGCTTCTTCGTGTTTCTCCTTCGCGCTTTCGGTTTTTGTTATTCTGTAAATTGAATGAATGAATGAATCGTGTTAATGTTTTGCAGAGCCAGCGATAAGTGCCAGAGAGAGAAGAGAAAGACCATTAACGGCGACGATTTGCTTTGGGCAATGGCCACTTTAGGTTTCGAGGACTATATTGATCCGCTCAAGATTTACCTCAAAACTTATAGAGATGTAATTTTAATTTACATTTTTTTTTATGAATTATGTGTAGTTTGTTCTTGCATAGTAAGTATACGATTGATGTTTAATTAAAACATGTTCAGATAAAGATTTCTAGGAGCAATTCGGGGAGAAAAATAAAATGAGTTTCTTCATGAACTAAAACTAGTGTTTTAGTTCATTTGGAGAAGTTGTATGAATGAGCTTTTACAGATTAGCTTACCAAGAAGCTTATTTCATTCCTTTTTATTTTTCTCCTAGATGTGCTTTCTAAAAAAGTTTATCCAAACATGTCCTTAGTTGTAATACGGTATGTTGTTTTGGTTTCCTGGAGTTAAACTCTGCTTTTCACTGATTTCTTTTTTTTGTTGTTGTATTTTTTTTATGAATTTCTCGTGGGCCGATTGGGAATATTGCAGATTGAGGTAATTTTAGTTTTAGATAAATGGCTATTAGCTTTGTGGTTTTTGGTGTTTGGTTACACTTATTCTATTGTATTTGTACCCGTTATGGTTATGGGGTTATCAAATTTTGATGTGCCAGGGTGATTCCAAGGGTTCGGCCAAGGGTGGAGATGTTTCTGGTAGGAAGGAGGTTTATCCGAGTACTAATGCTCAGGTGGATAATGTACATACATGCATCATTGCTTGTTGTGTTGCTGGAATTAGTTTAGAATACAATGATATTGGCATCTGATCTGGATTATTTTGTTGTGGAACTGGCAGCTTGCTCATCAAGGTTCTTTCTCACAAGGTGTTAATTATACGAATTCTCAGGTAATTGGGCCCTCTAATGCAATATAATAATGTCTCTTTCCTCCCGTGGTTTTGGTGTAGGGCGTAGCATTGGTAAATGAAGATGCTGAGATTTCTGTTTAATCTGACATCACTGCCATGTAGTATGAGACTTTGATGCTTCATTCGCATGAGTTCCTAGTTTTTATCCCTTTTCCTCTGAATCCTTTATTATTATTATTTGGAGCTCAAATAATTAAAAAAGTTTATCATTATGTTGGCTCTAATGCCATTTTTATTTGTTATTTTAAGTTTTGAAGACATATAGATTAAAAGGGGTGCCTCTTAGAATGAATGCTGATAACTTGATTATGAATTTGTTACACTTGGTTGGTAGCGCATATCTACACTCATTGAAGTCCCTGATGAAATATTGTATGACTGACGGGTTGGTTTTAGGTTCAATGAATTTATCTATCTCTCCTTTCTAGAATCTGCAAGCTTTTTGATTTATTAAGGGTTATTAAATATATGGCCTATCTATCTTAGAATGACATTTCTTTTCTTGTTGGGCACGTGAAAATGTTAAATTAGGCCATTGGAAACTACTAAGTGTGTATTTGGATTATAGTTAGAAAGTTAAGTTGAACTTAACTTTTCAAACCAACTTCCAAATAAAAGCAACACCCCTCTAACTTTTGTTTGAACTGAGGTTTGCTTGTAATCTACATGCAACGGAAAGGAAAAAAAAAATTTTTGCCAAACATATAGGCATTGTGTTTGAAGCCAGCTAACTAAGGTTATATATTTCAAACGTGTAACCAAACATAGTCTTATATAGTCTATTAGTCTTATTAGGATTTTCCAATCTTTAATAAATTGTCCAACTGCAAACTATAGAATTGAAGTTGCTACGGAACTTGCACTCTTTGAATATTCTTTTTAGATTATTCATGTAATGGTGGTAGGTTTCTTTAGTAATATCAGACCCCCAGTGTGATAACTGATAGATTTCAGACCCCAAGGTTGGTAGTCTCACATGGCTTTCTTTGAGAAAACATGTAAAATTCTTTTCCGAGGTTGTGCTGAAACATTATGCAGTTTACTTATAAGATAGAAAGTTTATTTGTAATACATACTAAAATTATGCCTTAATTTCAAAACATATCTTGTGGAGAATCATGGGTTTAGATAAACTGTCTCAACTAAGCTACAATGTTACCTAATCCCCAAGACGGCATACATACCTGATTGGCTACTTTGTAGTAATGACTTAAAATTTAAAGTATATTTGATTTGGTAAAGTAAATGACCCTTGTCTTTAGAGATTCATAAGGAAGTATCATTGTTATGCTGGCAATTACAATTTGCACTGGCCTTTTTCTTTTCCATCATTCTTTCCTAAAGTACTCTAACCTCTAGGAACATTTTGTCATTTGGCTTTTTTAAGGGGTTTAATAATTAATCTTTAATGTCAAAGCCGGAATTTTCAGTTCTTAAAATAAAAGACAGATGAAAGCAAGTTTTACCCAATTAATAAAGTGGCAACCGAGACATTATTTCAGAAGAAACTTGTATTAGGAATTGGTTTTCCTTGAAGAGAAATGTTAGTCACTCTCTCTAAGACTCTGGTTAATCCTTTCTCTACTGTTAGTTGAAAATCACAAATTTTGGTAGGTTTTATCACTATGGAGAGTCTGATTAACAGAGAATTTATAATTTTCAATAAATTTTAGTCATTAATAAAGAAAGTGTTAAGAGCATATCTTCTCTCTGGTTTGTAAGTTATTTCTTAGTTTGTGGAATGTTAGATGAAGCAACAAAATGTTTATAAATGATGAATTTATGATATTAACTTTCTCTTTAAATTTTCAGCCACAGGCTCAACATATGATAGTTCCCATGCAAGGCCAAGAGTAGATATTGATCCTCCTTCTGTGTTTGACATGTGTAATCTTAATGCCGGTGGAGCATATTATTCAATGAATTTTATGTTATGTGAATACTGACATTAGGGGATGTTGGTTCTTGTGACCAGATATTATTTTTATTAAGACTTGCATTTATCTTTGTTAAAGAATCATTATTCATAAGTTATGTTGTAAATTCTGGAACAATTATTGTCCGATTCCATCAAGCGTCCTGGCTAAGACTAAAGATTTTATGTAACTGATTGGAAGCATAAATTGGTATATTCTTTCCCTTCTTTTCTGTTATACATTGGATGAAGATGGTACTAAATTTAAAAGCCTTTCGTTGTGTCGTGATGGGATCGTGCTTTGGCTGAGATATAGTTTCTTCTATCTATTTAAACCTGATACGTATGTTTTTACTGTTTTTTGCCAATGACTACGATTTTTTTTTTTATTTTTCACGAGTCAAAGTTACATTAATAAAAAGTAAGTAAATGTGTTTTGATAAAATCCCAAGTTTTCCTGAGGCGATTAGGTCAAGGTGTTGGGTTGTTCGAGTTTAACTTGATTTTTTTTCTATATTCCTATTTATTTTGATATCTTCCATATTATTAACTCTTTAGCGAGGCTCCCATTTGCGTTATCCCTCGCATAACATTGGAGAGATTTAGTTTTCTTTCTCTCTCACTTTTGGGGGGGGTGGGGGATGCAGAGTTTAATGCGTCTAACCAACTTTATTTATTGTTTTTATATGCCCAACTGTATTTCCAATAAAACGTTAATTCAGGATTTTCTATTTTCTTGTA